TACTATTTGTGTCCAGGCATCCCATCTTCAGACGCATTCTTGGCCAATCGACGACAACGACTTTTCCAGTTTCAAACAAACTTTCGCCCTTTCATCCCAACTTCTCGATCTACCATCCCAACCACCATTAATGGAAGCTGTCTAATGAAGAGCAACCCCCGAGCTCATTAACCCGTCGAAACACGATTGTTCAGCTTGTCGGTTTCTCGATAATCAGTCACAATGAACCGTTTTCGCACAAAGAAGAGGGCCAAGGATGATACCTCGTCCACGCCCCGGGCCTCTCAGGAGTCTGAATCTCCTGCCCCCTTCAGATTGTTTGGCAAGGGCAAGAAGTCGCAGGAGGAGGAGCCCAAGAAAGAGCTCGACCTTGAGAATGCCCTACCCTCGTCCGACGACTTCCGCACAAGTCTATTGATGACTGGTCTTTCAGCGAGGTTCTCCATGCTAAGAGAGCAAGATGATCCGAACACCAAGATCGGCAAGGCTAGCGACGACAGCGTCCTTTTCCCCAAGCGTGCATCAAGAATGGATTTTGGATTCGGCGCTGGTGCGAGCGGTCTCTCGGACATTGCTGAGGTTGAGTCCATTAGGAAAGAGGCTCCTTTCGCCCGTATGGATCGCATGGATTCATTCCACTCCTCAGACGGAAACTCTGTCTCGGGAAGCATCATGGACCGGTCCAAGCCGGGAGAAGGGAACAACTTGTTTGGTGGACGCCAGAAGATTTATAAGATTGCCTCGGGAAGCGCGTCGACAAAGAATGTCGATGGAGGCGGAATGAGCCACCGTGCTCTGTATGACGACGATGTTGCCATGTCCTCTTTCCAGAAATGGAGGCAGACGGAGAAGGCGAAGATGTCTTTCGACGATGACCAGGACCTGGTTCAATCCACATCAAGCCTCGATCTGGCACGCGCGGAATCCCCCCCTCCGGCCGGCTACAACCGCAACAGGGAGACAAATTCAACAACCTCCTCAACGCCATCACTCGGCCGCAACTCCACTGCTGCGACCTCTGTGATGTCACAACCAACATCTTCCACCAAGGATTGGCAGTCTTCATCAACCGCGCCGAGTTCTGCAGCGGGCACCCCTCTGCTTGAAAGAAGCATGACCCGCACGAAGCGTCTCTACGAGACAGGTCTGAACAACGAGCTTCAGGAGCAACAATCTTCGGCATTATCCCGCATGGACACGCTTTCCCGACAGCGTGGCTTCGGCAGCAGGACACCCGACCTTCAGAGTGGTCCTTCGCCAACAACGGGTCTTTTTGCGGACCGATTTGGTGAACGCAGAATACTGGCCAAGGGAAGCGCGCCCAATCTGCGATCTGCCAGCCCGCCGACGGCCGCATCGCCCATCCAACCAATGGACTTGGGTATCCGGAACCAGGATTTGAGGCCCTCGTTTGGCGGTGCGCCGCCTCTGAGCCCGCCCATCAGTGAAGGGGAGGAACATTCGATTCTTCCCAACGACCGAGGCAAGGCCACAGCCATGGGTATGTTCCAGAAGCCTCTTCACTCTTATGACGATACCAGGTACGCCCAGAGGCAACTTCAACTCCAGCAAGGTCGAGAGACACCTACCAACCGATTCCGCACCGAGTCCAATGCTTCGCAAACCACTGGTCGTTCCCGGTCGTCTTCGTCCGCACAGAGACAGACTATTGAGAGACCTGAGCCCGTCGTCCAGGTTGAGCCTACGTTGGAGGAGGAAGATGCCGCGTCGATTTACTACAACGAGAAGGAAGAGGAGGCACAGTTGTCCCCCATGGTCACCAGGCGACCAGCGGACCGCGATCATCCCGCTTTCAGAGACTCGGCCATTCCCACTCCACTTTCACTCAGCGGCAGGGAGTCAGTTGAGCCCTCCCCAGTTTCTGATCAACCGTTCCCTTCAGCACCCGCCGACCAGCTCGGCGCGCCACAAGACTCGCCAACCCTGCCTTCATCTGCAGGCCTCAGCGGCATGGTTCGCGCCCATCTCCGAACAGACAGCAACACCTCGTCTATCTACGGCTCGGCACCTCAAACATCCACTTTCGCCTCCAGATTCCCGCTTGATCCTTACGACCCGTCATCCCTGGCTGACTTGGGAGTAACGGCAAACCCCTGGGAAGTGCAGTCGCCAGACTGGCAGTCTCCGACGATCCCGATGTTTAACGAGCAGGCCACCAAGGAGATCAAGGAGACCAAGGAGGCTCCGGCGCCTACCTCTGCACCGCCGCCCACCTCTGCACTGCCGCCCACTCCTACTTCCGCTCCTGCCCCAGTCCCGAGGGGGAACCCACCAACAGCGCCTTCTGAGCGTCATACCGGCTCCAGCACCGAGATGGAGAAGGAGCACGACGAGTTTGCCCACCAGCTGGCGGATGCCCAGCGCAGGGTCCGAGAGAGACTCACGTCCTATGTGGAGTCTGATCGTGACAGCCGATCTCTGTCTCGCTCCTTGTCCCCTCACTCTTTTGAGCGCACCAGAGAGCCCTCATTGCCTCGGCCTAACCCTCTTGGAATTTTGAGGTCCAAGACTAGCCGAGGTTCTTTGGCCGACCGTCCTAACCGTGAGAACAGCCAGCATGCCAAGGCGATCAAGATGCTGGGACTGGCCACTTCGACAATTAGCAGCGCTCCCAGCCCCAACAAGACTAGCTTTGAGGAGAATGAGCGCCAATCCCTCGGCAAGGAGGAGCGCGAGAGGCCTGAAATTGCCAGAGCTGAGACGGCACCTGCTCAACCCCAACAGGAGCAACCCAAGGAAGACGATTCAATGCACGCTGGGTTGCGGGCTTTCAGACAGGCTCGCAAGCAGCTCTTGGAGGCTCAGCGTAGCCCGACATCCAGCACAATGCCCATTCTGCCTGGCGCTCTGGGCGGCTCTACGATTGGCGCCATGGTAGGACCCCCGGCATCACGCACGGCACCAAGCCGAGACCGCACCCCGGGCACTCGCTCTCCGTCGCGCGAACGCCGTCCTCCTCCCGTGACTTACCAGCGGACGCCAAGCGAAGAGCCTCAACCTGGTGCAGGACCTGGGCGTGGCGGATCACGCCCTCCGTCACGCACGGAGCGGGACCGTAGCGGTTCCGAGGCGAGCAACGGTGAGAGAGCTCAGCGCCCTGCCAGACTTCGCACCGTCTCGTCACCGTATGAGGACCGGCAAGCAGGACTCAGTCCTAACGGACCCCCGCCTTCTCGGCCGCTGATGCCGTCTCCCGGTTTGCCCGGTACCAACATCCGCCGGTCGCCGCATATGCCTCCCCAGCCATACCCTGGAGCTGCTGCTGCCCCAAAGGCCCTTGATCGATCTGCATCCCAGGGCAATCTCGCTGTTCAGTATCGTCGCAGAGGACCCGACTCCGGTCAACCATCCCCGGTGTCTCCGATGGCACCCATGCCTTCGCCTCAGATTCCTGTTAGTCAGTCTACGCCTACCTTCAGCCCCCCGCCTCGCCGGCCGTCTGCTCCTCCGCTTCCGTCTCCTGCGGCGGAGAATGCTCCCGTCACCCGCCTTGATGAGTCGATGAAGCGAGTTGTCAAGAAGAAAGATATCTCTGAGCCCACTTTTGTATCGTCTACTTCCCGGGTCCCTACCGTTGCTCTTCCTGAGACGTCAGAGTCTCTCTCGAGGAGCGGTTCTCGATCGCGGTCGGGAAGCATCTTGGGTGCCGCCGCATCCACGCCTAATCTTCATGCTCATGCCAACATCAACCCTCCACCAGTGCCTCCGATCAACCCCAAGCGCCGCAACATGATTGGCTCCATCATTGGCCGCAGGGGCGAGGAGGATATGGGCGCTAGTTCTCCTCATCTCCCTCTGGCGCCGCCGCCACCAATGGCTAGCGACCCCAATGGTGACGGCAACAGCGCCTTCTCCATCAGCGACGATGAGGATGCCCAAGGGGGCCAGCGACGCCGACTACGCAAGACCATCAGCGAGGCCAACGGGATGAACATGCGTGCTCGCATGAACCGGGGCAACAGTCCTCCAACGGCTATTCCCGGCGGCGTTAACAACAGCTCCATGCCAGGCGGCATGATCTAAGACACTTCAGTTGGTTACAATATTTCTATTTCGATTCTAATCTACTCCCATTATCGCACGGATAGCTGGAAAAGGGGACGGGAGAGAAAATGGTCATGACGAATCTATGAAAACCCTTTCTATACTGTTGTTTTACTTTCTATTTCCCATCACATGATCACCGCACAATGGTGTGGTCTCTATTGTATATTTCTTATTCTTACACTCCTTCTCACTCGTCGCCCTTGTGTGGGTGAGCGACTTATTGGATCTTGACTCCTGGAGAGATCTTAATTAGGCGGGGTCCTGGGTTTCGCGGTAAATGGAGTGCGTGTCGGAGGTGGGCCTGGCGTCTGCCGCGTGCAGGATCTCAATATTTTGGAAGATGGGTGCATGGTGGTTTCAATTTGGAGAATACCAGAGTGTTTCTATATTGTATTAAGGATGGGGTACGTTAGGCCGATATACCACGTACCAGGTAGCGCACGTGGGAAAAGTCAAATCATTCGGGCTTCACATCGTTTCTTCCTGTGAACATTCGTGTTTGACAAGTATAGTGTTTCTCTTGGTGTCAGTCCACAACCTCACCGGCCCTTGATGCTCCGGATGGATCGCCGACATATCTCTCGTGGCTATATTGATGATTGGTACTAACACGTACTCTCTTCCTCGAGCAAGGCCAGACAAACAATGTCGCATGCACAACTTCCTCAAGTCCTCGGCGCAGGCGTGGTCTCAACGATATTGACAAACCCCCCGCAATACCTGTCCCCTCTGGATAGGTTAAAATCGCAGTGAAGCACTAAAGGCCGTCCTACACTCCATCCACTACTTAGCTCACTATTATAAGCCGCTATTTAATGCATTTTAAATAGCTTGCTAGCTCACGTACAAATGAAGCTGACTTACAAAGCAAAGCAGGCGCAAGAAAACGCGAATAAAAAAGTAAAACATTGATGCAATCTGCAAAAGGATTGGGCCCTAACCAGGGATCGAACCTGGGACCTCTCCCAGATGTGAGGTGTCGTGACGACAACCCTAAGGGAGAATCATACCGCTAGACCATCAGGGCTTTGTGTTGTGGGTGAAGACCCACTTGTTGGGCAGGTGTGGCGACGGAGAGTCCTACGGAGCATCGCGAAATGTGCGTTCAATCTGGCTTAGATGAAAAACGGGGTCAGATTGTTGTGGGCGGGTTCTCTGAGTGGATAGATTGATCAGACAGACGCCCGGATGTACGTAAGTCTGAAGTGGTATGTAGCTGAGAAATAAAGAAGTAGTGTATCAGCAGGCGCCTGTGGCAAAAGTGTTAGGGGAAGAAGAAAGAGGGAGATAGAACATAGGTCGGGTTGTTGCAAAGAGAAGCATGGGGCCTTGCTAGATAGGGAATCACTCAGTGTATCAATGACAACTATGATGTCAGGATGGCCATGATCTCTGTGATGCCGCGGGTGGCAACGTCTCAGCTGGTCTAGTTAACCAGAGCTGTCGTTCCGTCAGGTTCAGCTTGACCCAGCCTTTGTTCAGTCCGACATTAAGCCTGCTACTAACTTGCGCTTTCGGACTTGGGCAAGCCATGGAAATCGCAGCATGACAGAATCAAGACCCGAGATGAGCGCCGCAGGTCAAAAAATCCGCGGTTGAATCCAGGCCGCCGTCCTTGAATCTTCCGTGGCCCTCAGTCTCGGGATTGCATTTCCAGGACAAGATATTTTTCCGAAATCTCCGTGTCCATGATCAAGTTTCAGGAAACGACGCATGGAGAGAGGCCTCGCTGCGCGGTGAAACATGACACATCCACGGAGACATCTTCAAACAGGGTGGCCTTTCTTATACCATAGCACGAGGGCTTGTCTGTCATGGAGAGCTGAGCGGGAGTAACCCGACAGTCTGGCCTGACGAGCGCGAGGGGGAAAGCTTCTGTGATGTTTGGACGAACTTTGTCGGGTCTCAGGCGGACACGCGGGGAAAATTACCCCCGGATATGGCAAGATCGCCCGCTTTTGCCAGCTTGTGAAAATGACTCGATTGATGTCGTCTGAAACTTGGGACCAGGAGCATCAAAGGCTGTTCGGTATGGCATTCGCGATATGGGTCTCAACAGATACGCAGAACTCGATAACTTGCTCGTCGAAAAACGGCCCGGCGGGAGTTTTCAGTTGTATAAAGACGCGCCTGTCAGCATCTCTTCAAGTTCTGAGGAGTTAATTGATATCACAGCCACACAAAGAACCTTCAGCCTTGAAACAGACTTGTCCAAATATTTTGCTTGAGTAACGTTCCAAGAGCCGCAAACATGAAGGTCCTCTCCCTCTCAATGCTCTTCGTGACCTTTATCTGCGTCGCGAGCGCACTGCCACAAACGCCAGGAACGGGGTGCGATTCTGTCGCTCTTTGCAACGAGCTTTGCGGGAAGCAAGGCAAGGTGAGTTCAGCTTCTACAGACTTCATGAGCCACCGTACTGTACTGACGCTTGAATCTCCAGAAACGCGGGGGCAGCGCGTGTACCGGGAACAACGCGGCGTCATGTGTTTGTGTGCCCAAGTAATGGATGAAGGAGTTGTTGGATCTGGAGCAAGCAAGCGACGTGGCTGGCGCCAATGGAGCGGATGTGGTTTCTGTTTTCTCTTCGCAGAGTATTGCTAAAATCCTAAAGTACTTTTATGCACGATTGCCGCTTGGGAGTCTCCAGTGAGATGAGATGAAAGGTGGCATTCTTGGGCGCAACTCTGCAGCGCAATGCGGGGGAACCAGCATCGGCCCGGAATGCCGGCCGGGCGCTACTTAAAACGGCCCCATGACCGGGCGTCGAACCTTCCGTAAGCATCAACTGATATCGAGTCCTCCTGCCCTCCTACCGAATCCAGTCGAGTATCACAACCGTCTTCCACACTTGTCTGAAATACCCGCATCGGATTGCTGGAGTCGACATCACTCACCACGAACCATCACTAGAGAAAACCCCGCTCGCCCGTGACGTGCCACACCTGCTGGCTAAAGCGCTCTGAGGCCCAACGATAACGTCGAGTCCTCTCTTCAACGCACGCTAACGAACGGTTCCGTCACCATGGCCTTCATCCGCAACTACAAACCCTCGGATTTCGAGGACACCGCACACATCGTGCGCACCTGCGATCCTACATCCGCAAGCCCTGCTAACCTCATCCCCAGTGCCGCGCAACCCTGCCTCCTTCCCTCGACAAATCCGAGGTAGGCACTCGGATGGCGCCGTTCCTCTGGACGCACCAGTACACGCTCCTCTCGCCCTCGACCTGCCACGTCCTCGACGACGGCACCGGGCGCGTGGTGGGGTACTGCATCGGCTGCCCCAACGTCAACGACTTCGCGGCCGTGTATGATCGCTACGTCAAGGAAGTGCTCGAGACGTCCCCGGTGTTGGCTGGCAGACGACCCCAGAGCCTTGAGACTAAGGCGCCGTGGAACCTGCCCTCAGGAGAGGTGAACGAGGAGGCTTTGCTTCAGCAGGCTTGGAACCCGACGTGGCTTGTGCTGGACGTTGAGAGGAAGGACCTGTGGGGAGAGTGGAAGGGTACGATGCACATCGACCTGCTTGAGGACTACCAGGGCAAGGGATGGGGAAGGAAGTTGATTGGCAAGTTTGAGGAGAGTCTGAGAGAGGCTGATAAGGCCACGGGTGGAGACGAGAGGTTGTATGGCAAGGGATGGCACATTGGTGTTGGTGGAGAGAATGAGAAGGTTGTCAAGTTTTATGAGAAGATGGGGTTCCGGGTCTGGCCTACTGCCGAGAAGGGGTCTATCTGGATGGTGAGAGATATCGAGTAGACTGACGCCGGATGATGGTATAACGACGTTGACGGACAGGTCTGAGAGAGGGCCACTCCAGGTCGGTGTCCGAGTTGCATTTACGATTTCTCTTTCACACGGTAGCTGGGGTTTAATGAGGATTGCGCAGGCTTCCTCTCAAGTCTCTAATACGTCGCCAAAATTAAGCCGAACTCAACAGCCCAGACCAATGAAGCCGCACACTAATAAAAGGTTTAGAGACACGTTCCATTTCCAGGCCAGCTTCTTATTCTGGCCTCCTAAGAGATTCGCCATGATGTCACTCATCGGGGATGGGTCTCATTCGTGGCCAACCGCACTATCCATGCAGCAGCCTCATCCCCTGGGGTCCTTAGCATGTTTTCTCGCCATCTGAAGCAAGCCTTGTTGGCTAAGTGGTATAGCGCCTCACTAGTAATGAGGAGATCGGGCGTTCGATTCGCCCACGAGGCATCACAGCCTGGAGTATCTCCATCGGCCGACGTTTCTTTTTTGACTTTTTACTTTTACCTTTCAACGACCTTACGCGCGTTTGAGTCTGGTTGTTGATGCATTGGCGTATAATAAAGGAATGTGCGCAATGATGTTTTCGCCTGCTCTTGTCATTTTAACTGACTGCTTGCCTCTATGTGCTTAAATTTGTATAGTTGCCGTTGTGATGACTTGGGTCTTGGTGTTTTTGCTTACATTGCAGGGAACCGCTGAACCTTAGTGCGCCGGCGCCTGGGCAAGAGACTCCGACACTGATCGGAGTCTCCTTCCGTGCGCTAAACACCGGAGTCATGCTGTGGAAATGGTGGGCTAGCGGCTTCGGATCACGAATCTCGGCCTTTACGTAAGGGCCTCTGCGGGGTTTATCATCGGCGCCCGTCGTTCATGTTCTTAAAGCCAGAGTCCTCCTGGCTGATTTTCTCAATTCCTAACCCATTTTTGCATCATTTTGTAGAAATCCAATTCGAAAATGTCTGCTGCTGATATCGACCCCGCCCAGCGGCTCAAGGACCGTAAACCGATCCCAAAGCCCGCTCCGGCTTATCTCGCAACGGCCGGATCACCACTTACTGTCGACAAGGTGCTTTACGAGTCTGCGCAGAAGGCTCCTAGAGTTTTGGTGGAGGACTTCACTTTGCCTATTCGTTCCGGCAAGGCGTGGAAGGCGCCTGCTGGTTCGATTGTGAGAATTAGCACACCTGAGGGACCTCAAGTTGGTAAGTTTGGGCGAATGCCCGATTCCTGAGCATTGAATACGGTTCATGAGACCGCTGCTTCCAAGTCTCGAGAAATGCTGCCCCACCGAAGCCTAAGCTGACATGACGCATGCGACCTGAACATCTGGAACGCTCACAACCCCCGCGAACGGTTCTGGGCCTCTCGCACTCGCCAACTGCACGCAAGTCACGTCTCTGTTGGTGACCGCTTGTGGTCAAACTTGCCGTACATACGCCCTCTGGTGACTATCATCGCGGATACGCTGGCATGGTACGGCAAGGATGAGCATGGCGGACGCGTCCACGATTTGCTCGGCACGCGATGTGATCCGTATATCAACAGCATCCTCAGCGGAGGCAGCTATGATTTCCAGTGTCACTCGAATCTCACCCGTGCTGTGATCCCTCACGGACTGAACGAGAGCGATGTTCATGATGTTATCAATATCTTCCAATCAACGGGGTTGGATGAGCAGGGACGTTATTTCATGAACCCCTGCCCGGCGGGGCCTGGGGACTACATTGAGTTCCTCGCCGAGCAGGATGTTCTCATGGCTTTGAGTAAGTATTCTTATCTGAAAAAAGATAGTGAGGACTAGGCTGACACAAGTTGCATAGGTACCTGCCCTGGAGGTGACTTGTCGCTGTGGGGTTTCGGCGAGGATAGTGAGGAGGAGATGATCAAATGCTGCAGGCCGCTCAAGGTGGAGGTATTCAAGCTTGAGGACGAGGCTATGTTGCAGCGTGGTGGGTGGAAACCTGCTGAGGTTTCGCCTTATAAGGGACAACATGGAATGGGCATCCCCCTTGGAGAGGTACGTAGCTAAGAAACTACGCTAGGGGCTGGTAATAAATACAACAAGACGTCCGAATGACTGCATCAAGCGTACGACTCATTGGCACCAATATAGTGTTGAGAACATTCTATACCAATGACGACCACGGAAGAAATAAGATAATCATTAGATAGGGTTGTGGGGATATGATAGCCTGTCCAATAGCAGCGGTTAACAAGTACCGTGCAGCAAAAGTCAAAGGGTTCACTGCAATCTATTCAAC